CCCGGCGGCAGACGTTTACGTCCAGGATGATGATCTTGAAGCATACCTCAACGACATGTTTTAATGTTTTGCGGGCGAGGGGCGGGGCCATGGCCGTGTTGATGGTATATGGCAGGTGCCCATGGAGAGTGCATCTCGAATAGCATCGGTGCATCCATCTTGTCATGAAACCTCCACTATTTGCGGGAGGTGTTGGCGTGGGCCGGCTGTGAGCTACGAATCCGTGTTTCATAAACCTTACCACTGGTACACGTTAAACGAGAAGTTGACAAGTCATGTTTTTGTGGCCGGGGGATTGGATGGATAATTAAATTAGCGTGATGGGAGTGGTGCACGTGGGTAGCTGTCGTCGCTGCATCGAGATTGGTATGGCTCTTGCCTCGCGTCTTGACATTTCCGTATCTCATGCATGGTCCATCGAAGGAAAAGTCTTCGGGGCAGTTTTTCCCGATGTTGAAGTTTCTCACAAAGTACCTCAATTTTTTTTGGTTTTCAGTTTATTCCATATCAAGAGAATATTCATCGTGGCAGTGTTCATTGGGTGTATGTTACTCAGAGTCCTTCGACTTTTTTTGTTTTAATTTATTCCATCAAGAGAAAATTCATCGCGGTGGTAAGTTACTTAGAGTCCTTCAACTTTTTTTTTTTAATTTATTTCATCGAGAGAAAATTCATCGCGGTGGTAAGTTACTTAGAGTCCTTCAACTTTTTTTTTTTAATTTATTTCATCGAGAGAAAATTCATCGCGGTGGTAAGTTACTTAGAGTCCTTCAACTTTTTTTTTTTAATTTATTTCATCGAGAGAAAATTCATCGCGGTGGTAAGTTACTTAGAGTCCTTCAACTTTTTTTTTTTAATTTATTCCATCGAGAGAAAATTCATCGTGGCAGTTTTTCTTGGGCGGTAAGTTACTCAAAGAGTCCTTCAATTTCTTTTGTTCTTAATTCTTTTCCATCTAGAGAATTTCATCGCGTTGGTTTTTAATTGTTCCATCGAAAGAATAATTCTTCGTCGCAGTTTTATAGATTTTTATCTTTTCACGATGGAATCAGATAATTTGGGGGAGAAGGTTTGGCATTCATTGCCAGCTGGCTATGCTGGGCACATGGAGCGTGTTCGTTCGTGTTATGTCGAAGAAGCATTATATATTGCCTGCAGCGTTCGGCCTCTGTACGTGCAATCGGTGACGTCATCATGTACCCTGTAGGGGAGGTATATATTGGGTGCCTTGAGGTCCCCTCATAGTAGCAGTATCATGCGGTACGTTGTTTGTTGATGGAATTGACGCGCCGGAGTTGTACATGTTACGAAGGGATGGGGAAGCAAGGAAAGGCACGGATCAGGGCGGGGGGCGGGGGGGTGTCAAAAGGGACATATATGGCGTATATGAGCTTGAGCGTGTTTGTACCTCTAGGAGCACTACAGTACATGCTGCTCCAAGGGACGACAAGGGAAAAACAAAAAAAAAGACAAATGAAACAAAAAATACAAAGAGAAAATAACCAAACAAATAAATTTCGAAAGGAAAATATCCTAATTTTCGGCCCCGTCAGTACCACTTGGCTGACACGGTCTCCACAGGGTTTCTCCAGGGTGTGCACCCCGCCAGGGTCCCTGAGGGGCAGGGTACGTACAGGGTGTGGGATCAGTACCCTCGCAGGGTACCCACCCTGCCATTGGGTCAAGCCTGCAGCGTAGTCTTTCCAGGGTGACCTTGACAGGGTGAAATCTCCCCACCCTGGCAGGGTAGCCGAATGGCTACGTGTGATGCCATCTTATGTGAGGCTCCTGCTGCATGAATCAAATTCTCTACTTGATCTAGTGTAGACAAACTACCTTTTTTCGTTGAACAGATTTTTTCTTTACTGGGGCTGTACTTAAGATCGCCGGTACGTTGAAGACAGTAGTGGTATCATGTTCTCGCGTACCAAGCCTTCTCTCGTAGCTGTACGTCAATGGCAAACACTCGTACAGTCGCCCACATGTCAACAGACCAAATGGTTACCCACAACCCATGCATGAACCAGTGTTACTCCTCTGTCAATCCGCGGAGCTTCCACCCCTGCCTCAACGTGTATTTTTCTATTTTTCCGAGTAGCGGACCCCCCGCTGTTTGATCATGTGCCTCACTGCTCACGGGTTCGGAGCCAGTTCCGCCCTTGTAGAAGCCATGGGTAAGAGGAGACCAAGAAGTCACCAGCCTAGCGGGTCGGCCGCAGGCCTCGGCTATTGCCTTACGACCATCTTCGTCGCAGGGCTGGCGTTCGTGGACTCGTTCAACCTTGTGTTGCACCGCTGTCATAATCATCAGAGCCAGTGCAGCAGCAATAATCCACGGCAGCAACAACACCTGGGACATGCTGGTGCGAGCGGCGGCAGATTGCGAGCAGCATCGTTGAGAGGCAAGGCATGCAGCAGCTGCTCCGCATCACCGCCTCGTAACGGCATCCCAGATGTCTCTTCCTCCCGCCGAAGAGCTACGGCGGGAGAGGACGGAGCATCGAAACGAACAGGTACCGACTGCGTCACTGCACGTACGCGTGCATCAGTATCGAAAATCGCTGCTGCTGCTGCAGACAGACCCTCAACAACGCGAACGCCAGCGTCTAGTGCTAATGGGAAGCGTAGAGAGGCCGCAAGAGGCATTGGGAGGAGGGGCAAGGCAGCAGCTGCCGTGAATGATTCCAGACCTCGGTCTGTAGGAGAAGTGAGGACATCGCTGGAGCAGAAACAGCGACTGCAGCGGTCGATCGGGGAAGTTGAGGACCGGGCTGTGAGCCGCGGCCAGCTAGTCAGCTCTTTCGCGCTAATGGGAGCGGCAACGGCGTTGCTGGGGGCCAGTGGGATGGCCAGTGCAAGCACAGAGGTGTGTCATTGTTCTCTATCAATACAAAGCACTTGTCAGAGGAGTAAAATACGTGCGGTTTGTTGCTGTGAGGGAGCTGACGCACACCCAGAGGTGCGGGGTGATTAATTTTGGGGGGTACCGCTGCAATGGCCACGCGCTCCGTGTACCATTTTAGCTAAATAAATAACTGCCTCTTGACACACGCGGAAAGCGTGTGTACACATGTCATGTGTCATGTGCGAGGCGTACCGGCGAGATTAGTCGAAGAGCTGGTCCTCTACGGCATCGTCCAACTTGCGAAGCAACAGCAAATCGGAGATTCTCGTACAACATGAGTTGACCCAGTTGCACATTTTCCTACTACTACTAAATAACAAAAACACACTGACTAGACTACGTAGAATATACAATACTGGAGTCGGAGTACTTCGAGTGTTATACTATTATATATGAGTATTGTGAATGCTTTCACTGAGTACTCTGGTGTGTGCGACCTGGTGCAGCAACTACTTCAGGAGGAACACGCTTCCGTGGAGACCGCAGACGTTGTAGCAGTACATCAGTTTCCTAACCAGACAGACGACAGACAGACGGCATCTGGGAGAGGCACGGTACAGAGTAAGCGCGACTAGGGAAATCTTGTGTCGCGCGCGCGCGAAACGACGACCACGTGGTCGCTAAATCACCAAGACTTGTATCATAGGTGTAGCGGCTGAGAGCGCCCTCCTTAATGGTGACTAATGTTGTAGGTCGTGGTGTCGTTCGACGCGCGCCACCACCGGTCATCGCTAAACATGTTGGCTCTTCTCCTGGTGGAGGCAATGCGGGTGAAACAGAGTGATATGTTGTTTGTCCTTAGCACCAGCTGATACTTATCACTGGTAAAGTATAATGTAGCCCAGTTCCAGCCGGTTTCCCTGCACTCACTGAAAAGACTTGAGCACATCCCTTCCGACAGTGAGTACATCCCCAACGGGTCGTCTGGTGGATCATGTAGATTCTCTTACAAAAAAGTCTTGCCGCAGAGTAGCACGCGGATCGGTTGCTTGGATCGGAGGTTGCACCACACGCCGCACCCGTGAGTTCGAAAGCATGGATGATCGATTCAGAGCTAGCTGGCTTTGCAACCCAAGTTACACGCGGAATCGCTGTAGCGGGCGGTACACCTTTGTGGAGGGGGGCACCGTAGTGCTGTAACTAACGGTACATACCTTGTTTTTGAAAGTCTTCTTATTTGTAAGTGGAG